GATGGATGGATGGATGGATTCTTAAATGTGTAGTTTTAGTCCTACCCGAAATTCTAAAATCTTCAGTTAAATATGATGGGAAGTTCTTCTCCAATATTCAAAATATTACCATTTCATTTTAATGAAATCATAATTGAAATCATAAATAATATCCACTCTATTTTATTGGGTAATTAAATCTAAATAAGAGAAGGATGGAAAGTTGTGTTTCACATGATTAACAAAATATGCAGCTGCTAAAGTTTCTTCTGTAAGCTAGAAAATATTTGGGATAACCTGTTTGAAAGTTACCAAATTACTACCCCAGAGACTTGAGGGGAAAATGAGGAACAAAAGCACTTAAGTAGGCAAGGACAGAAAAGCACAGCCATCCAAAATATAAAAAACCTCAAGCTCTTTCCAAGGAAGTAACGGAGTCAGACATGAAGGTGCTGTGCAGCAATGGTGCTGCATGTTCACCTGTGAAATGGGATGCTTTTGATACAAGTGTCTCAGGTTAAATTAGCAGGAAAGTTGGTAAAATACAATGAAGGAATAACAATAAATATCACTAAACCATTCTACACTAAACAATTAGGGATTATTACAAAACATTGCAGTCCCCAGCACTGTGAAAAACAGGTTCTTCTGTTGTCTAGAAACTGAAAAGAATAAATTAACTTTCACTGTATAAAAAGCATTTCTCTTTTTCCATCGCACAGACAGCCTTGAAAAAATAAAAGAAAAGTAAATAGGACTGTGACAAGTGGTTACACATCAGCTCGAGTGAGTAGGCTCAGTAACCTTCACCATACATATTTTTCTGTACTGATCTCCAAGTACTTCCTACACAATCCATTACACAAGCTACCTACCCTTTCAGTCACAATTTTTATTCTCAAGGCCCGAATTCAACCTTCTGATTCTTAACAATGTTTTTCTTCTTGTCCTGCCTAAAATGGACCTGTTTACAGCAACCTTTCTATTTAATGGAACATTTCTATACAGGCCTGTTCAAAGTGTCCTCTTTGCCAGATAGAGGGAAAAAAAAGAAAAAAAAAAGGAAGAAAAAACAAAACAAAAACAACCACCCAACCAACCAAAAAAACCCAACCAAAAAGAACCAGGTTTTTGAGCCTGTCCTCCTAGGTCATATCTTCAAGACTTCATACCTTTCTTCATTCCTTCCCTCTAAACTTTCCCAGCTGGTCCAAATCTTGCCAGAATAGAACCAGTTCTTCAGTGTGATTGTATTGCTAATCAATACCTTCTCATCCATTAAACTGACAATTTCCTTCTATAAAATTGCAGCTTAATCAGTCACACACCTTTATAGATTTTTCCTATGTAAATGTAGTTTACAAAATATTTGACCTTAAATTACACCTTAGTGCAGGCTGTTTCTCCCATTTGTTGAGACTGTGTTCTGTGCTCCACCCTCCTGCCAGTTTAGCACTATCTGCAAATTTTAACACTGTATATTTTAATCTTTCATCAGAATTATTAATAGAAACGCTGAGCATGAGCAGATACAGAATGAAGCCTTGCAGAATTCTGTTTAACAAACACCAGTTTGACACTGAACCATCACAGCAGATAAACTCCTGAGAAGGGAAGCTCTTCACACCTCATTAGTAATTAAGTACAGCTCACAGACTGATGTACATTAATTTAAGTAAGGGGTTTTTTAGTTGCTTTTGAGAACATTAATTTAAAATATCAAAAGATTTATTGTCTTCAAGATCCAGAAATCTATTCTTCTTCTATCTGCACAAGTTGTGTTACAGTGTTCCAAAGGAAATCAAACATATCCGCATATGAAAAATGCAAGCTTTTTTTACTGTGTCTGTGAACTGCTTTTTGCAGTTGCTTAGAATGTAAAGATTTAGCTCATACTCCTTAGGAAAAAATTATCTAATGCTTACAGCATTAGATGTTCTCTTAGATCAGTTCTGTATGTGCATAGCCCACAAGAATGAAGATATAATAAACACTAAATAAACATGATATCTTGAAACTAACCATACCTAAGAAAAACTGCACCAAAATCCATCTGTTAACCTCCATTCTTAAAAAATAAAATATTTACTGCAACCAGTGCCCCAAACCAGAAAAGGAACATTGAAACAGACCTGCCAATTCCACCTGCACTGAAGCAGTCATTACATGCACACTCAGTAAATAACTGAATAGAAAGTTTAAAAAATACTTTGTAAATTGCAAACATAAAGGACAATGAAAAATCTCCTTAAACAACCCACAAAAGAATGTGGTCAAGGACCATCAAAATAAAACCCAGTGTCATGTCCACAGTTTCAGAAAGTTGTTTCTGTTTTAATATGTTGTATCTCATAGAGAGGGCAATTCTAATATTCTGACAGTATGTAAAATTCTGAGCAAGTTAGAGGAGTTAGACTAAAAGTGAGAGATTATATTGGGCCAACGTCAACTGGATCTTTTACTTTAAGCATTATAATTCCACATTTTACTAAAAATGAGTGATTGCAACCGTGTTTTATTCATTTAACATAGCACAGAGCAGCTAAAGCAGACTGAAACAACAGAAAATTATTCAAGATGACAGATCTACAAAGAAATCTGCCATTTGGTAAACCAGCTGGTCATAATTAGACAAACTCATTTTTGAAGGGAGGACACAAAATCTTCAGTAATCAAGCCAGTTAAACCAACAAGCACACTAGTTACAAAAAGACATAGCAGGTGGAAGATCCTTTTCCCTCTTAACCAGGAATAAAAACACTTGTCCTCACGTTTTCTAAACCAATTCCATGTTTGAGAGAGGTAGCATCTTGTTTCAAGTGCAGAGCTGGGAGTTACTCAGAGAGCCACCTCCTTAAGAGCTGACAGAAATCATGAAAACTCTCTAAGATCCTGATCCACAGCTGTATGTACCATGCAGGGTATGATGTCAATTATTTATAAACAAACAGCACCCTGATCTCTTTCTACAGTAGCACACAGCCAAGGTGTGAAGAACTGACTCAGCAGGTACTGGGTCTTCACAGGCTTTGCAAGTAACACAGCTGATTATCCATGACTAAAACCAAAGAATAACAGGACTCTTGTAGTAGCATAAAGCATATAATGTGGTGTTCCATTTTCATGTGTCCACACAAAACTGAGAACCCAATGTGCCACCATGACACTTTCTTCTCCCTGTTGTACAGGTCAGAAATGATATCCACCTGTAGCTTCAAACACAAGCTTAGGAACAATTAAATTAAAACGTCCAAACCCACAAAATTTTAAGATCAACAGTGGTTTTAAATGAATGCAATTGACTAAGAAATATTTGCAATTTAATGCAAATTTCTACTTTACTGGAAAAAAAAAATTTTTAGAGAAGATTTCAGCTTCTCAGTACACAGTGAGGAAAGAGAATGTGGTAAGACCATCACACTCCTTGTATTATTACCCAGCTTTCCAGGTTTACCATTCACACATCACCACTTCAAAAGATTTGCCCCCTGTTACTGAAAGACAGTGAGGTCTTCTCTCACACAAACTGCTCAATCTGGACCAAGCACCCCTCACTGAGGTGGTGCACTCAGGTAATACAAGTCACCTTGCTGAACAGAGAGAACACCAAGGAACTGGCAATAAAAGGTGGTAACTCCCTGTCAGACAAGAACTGGCCACACAGATGAAAGAAGGAGGTCCTCCCTGCTTCAGAAGTGGTAAATTACGGGACCGGCTCAGCAGCACTAGAACCAGCAGCTGCAGGCTGGCATATCGCTGTATGGCTGGACTGCTGGGAGCCCATCCTATCCAAGCTGCTAAGCACAAGATTTGTGGCAGGTGTGCTAAGAGACTATACAATGCATAATATCCAAACCCTCCAGTGCAGGAAGAGCATTACACTTGAATAGTCTTTAGCAGAGTTCTGGGAAAATCTTAGCTATTGTTTCACTTTCAAACATGAGTGCTAAAATGTATCTAAATACAGTAACAAAATTAGTATTTTATATTTTTTAAATCCTCCAGTAACCATGGGAGTTCTAAGACAGATAAAACACTGGCTGGAGTCAATTGAAGCCATGGCATTGTAATAGTCGAAGTCAATCTAATCAACATGATGCTGGAAATGGGGTAGCAGCTGGTCTCCCAGCGCTGCCACTACCAATCAGTAAGCATCATTGTAACGTGTCTGCCAATCCAGATTTCTACAATCAAGATTTCTATGTTGCAACAATGCTAACGGAAGCGAGACAATCTGGATGTAGTACTGTCAAAGTATTTTTAATGGAAACTGTTTTAAAGGCACAAATCTGACACCATGGTAGGTTACAGAAAGCATTTTAGCACTTCCACAGGAAATTGCAGATGTAGTTGTGGTACACATTGGTATGTCTGTGCTACTTTTAATCTGTTAAAATACTTTATAATTAGTCAAAGCACAACCATTAACTTGTACTAATGGTAAATATGTGTTCCAGTGAATCACAGATATCCATTATGCAAGATCTCAGTAAAACAGGCTGGACAAGACACACGCTCATTTCGACTTCGGACTATAGAATCGTTAAGGTTAGAAAAGATCTCAAAGATCATCCGAGCACAACCATTAAATCGACTATGCCAAAAACGTTCAGCAATTCTTCACGTCTATTTGTAAACAGAGATGCATTTTTTCTGATGCATTTTTCAAACAAGACTTTTATCCCTTCAGCGCAAAATCATAAACGTATTTCGGCCAGAATACTCCTGTGCATACCGCACCAAGGCGCACTGCTGCTGGCTGAGCCGTGCCAGGGCAGGACGATGGGAGCAGAGCGCCCGTGCAGGCGCCGGGCTGGCCCGAGAGGTAACGCCGGCAGTCCCAGCGCGCCCCGCAATACTGCCCCACCCGCCAAACTCCCGGGAAGGGCCGCGAGAAAACGCTACCAACCCTCGGGAAAAGGAATAGAGGAGGGAAGGGTTGTGCCCCACCCAAGGGCCGCCCGGCCCAGGCCGCCCAGCCCGCCCCCACGCCCGCGGAGGGCGGGCTCTGCTCCCGCTACCCGCTGGTGCTGGGGAGCGCTGGGCGGCGGCGCTGCCCGCGACCCCGAGGCTGTCGCCTGCCCGGCCCCCGCCTCCTCGTTGTCCGTAAGCGCGCGCTCTTCCCCGGCCCCGCTCCTCCGGGACCGTGGCAGTCCCGGCCGCTTCCTTCAGCTGCTCTGCCTTCGGCCGCCGCCGCAGGCCGCCCGCCGCCGTGCCGGACCCCTTCCTGCAGAGCCCGGCTGCCGCCCCGCTCCGCGCTGCATGGCCGGGCTGCGCCTCCCGGGCGCGGCGCCGCACCCCGCCCGCCCGCTGCCGGAAAGGGGCCACTTGCCAGGGCCACGGGGAAATGGCGGCGTCCGCGACCTCAGCAGCGCCCGCTGCCGGTGGCTGGCGCGGCCGGGCCGGAAGCGCGGCGGGGAACTCACTGTCAGCCCCGCGCCTCCGGGACAGCCCCGCACGTCCCGGGGACAGCCGCGGGCAGTGGCCGCGGGATGCTCTGCCCCTGCATCCTCTAGAGGTCTCAACGAGCAAGGAGTGGAAAATCGCTATCCACATGTATTAAAAATAAAGGAAAAGAACTCCAGCAAATATGTATTTAATGTTTAGAAAACAGTATGGTGAACTAAAGCCACATGAATCATGGAATTGTTTAGGTTGGAAAAGACCTCTAATGTCACTGAGTTCAACCATTAACCCAGCACTGCCATGTCCACCAATAAACCGTGTTCATTAGCACCACATCTACACATCTTCTAAATACCTCCAGGGATGGTGATTCTACCACTTCCCTGGGCAGCTTGTTGCACTCCTTAACCACCCTTTTGGTGAAGAAGTTTTACTCATATCCAATCTAACCCTCCTGTGGTGCAAGTTGAGGCTATTTCCTCTTGTTGCTTGCTACCAGGGCAAGGAGAATGAGCCGCACCTGGCTACAACCTCATTTCAGGTAGTTGTAGAAAGTCATAAGGTCTCCCCCGAGCCTCCCTTTCTCCAGGTTAGACAAACTCAGCTCCCTCAGCTGCTCTTCCTTTGTTCCAGACCCTTCACCAGCTCTTTCTCCCGTCTCTGGACACACTCCAGCACCTCAATGTCTATCTCATAGTGAGGAGCCCAGAACTGAACATAGGACTTGAGATGTGGCCTCACCAGTGCCAAATACAGAGGGAAAATCACTGCCCTGGTCCTGCTGGCCAAACTATTGCTGATACAAACCAGGATGCCATTGGCCTTCTTGGCCACCTGGGAACACTGCTGGGTCGTGTTCAGCCAGCTGTTGACCAGCATCTCCAGCTCCTTTTCCACAGGGCAGCTTTCCAGCCACTCTTCCACCAGCCTGTAGCATTGCATGGGGTTGTTGTGACCCAAACACAAGACCTTTGCTTTCTGTAGCAAATGAGGAAAAAAGCAACTGATCTCAGGCTGACAGGGTGTTACATGGAAGGTTGCACTGCATGAACTCCGTGAGGTGACTCCACAGCCACTGGAGGAGTGTCCTCCTCTGAGGATGCAGAGCAGAGACACGAGAACAGCTTTGTGCCATGCTGGTTTGTTCTGCTCATCTTGAACTAAGTAGCCACCCATGTGTCCTCGGTAAAGTTCACCAGCTTCCTAACACCAGCTTGCCAGATCCCTCTTGAGCATGCAGACTGTCATTTGACAACACACATTAAAACATCAATCTGGTTTTGAAGGTTTTTAAACCCAGTAGCCTTTCCAGCAAAATATGACCACAACTCCCATTCTCTGAAATCGTGGGCAGTACTTACTCTGCACTACTACCTTTGGTAAGGGCTGCTCAGTTCTGGGGCACGGCATGCAGCGAATCAGTAAATTAGCTTAGTGTACATGCAAATAAATAAAATAACAGGGAGCAGCACTGGCAAGCATGTTGCAAAGACATCCAAGCAATTCTCGTGCAGCCAGCACAGGTCTGGCAGACTCAGAAGGAGATAGAGATAATAAAACCTGGAGAGCCCAAGCTGTGCCTGCATCTGTGGTGCAATTAATCCGTGACACGAACAATCTGCCCCCAGATAACTGGAAGCTGACTATATGTACAAATTTAACAACTTACATTAATTAACACTTGATTAGATAGATTGAAAAAGTATCATTAATATTTGGCAACAAATAGCAAATACCATTACAACTCATAAGCATGAACATTATACATCAGTAATTATGAGACACAGCGAAGTCATGATACTGTACATATGCATTTTGATTTTGTAATTTGATTTTGATCTCCCTATTATTATCAACTCTAAGATAGACAATTAACATAAATTATGTTACCATAGCACACTGGAGTCCTGCTCACAGGCACTATTGCCATGAGTAATACACAAACAGATGACAAAAGGTAATGCCATGAAGTGTTAACGCAGACCTACAAAACAAAAGATTATAGAGTATGAAGAGGTGACAAGAATGGTCAACATGTCAAGAAGAGATCTTTGCATACTAGCAGCTTAGCTACTGTCGGCTTTTATAGACGTCACAGTAAAATAGCCTGTTAGGGAGGGAAGGCTTTGTGTGACAGTAACAAGACTGCTTTTTATTAAGAAATTAATTGTAGTTTCTGTACCATATTACCAGTGTTTCTGCCACCCATGTCAGTTCAAACCAAGAAAAATTGTGTCAGGACAACAAAAACTTCTGCTTCTCCTTTTGCTCTGAAGTCTGCAATCCACGTGGCATAGTTTCAGCAGTCTTTCTTCCTAAATCCTAATGTTAGGGAAGCTAAGTGACCTAAGAGGGGGACACTTGCTACCTATGGCAAAGACAAAACGTTACAGGCAACAGCATCTAGACAATTTCTTGTCTTCCCTCCTCTGAGAAAAGTGTTATGTTCTGGCAAGAAAAGACAGAAAGTTGAAACAATCTCCTATGCAGTTGCTCAAACCCAGATGTTAGGCAAATGTAGAAGTTAGTATATGTTTATCCATGTGCTTAATATTTGTAGCTGGTGCCTTTTTAAGACCGTCTCTATCCTTAGCTGCTGTCTTGCAACTTGCATAAAATTCACGAGCCCTGATGGTGTTTCAGGTACATTAGCTGCAAGGCCTGGAGCACAGTCCCGTTCTAGGAGTACCATTGGCTATGTTAGAGTTTAGCTGGCTGAGTCAAAGGTCAGCTGCACTGCTTATAAGACGTGTTGTGAAGAAAGCTAGAAATGAGAGCCTCCTTCTCCTTTCCCTTGGGAACTGCTTTTAAGCCAAGGCTGTACCACTGACCCTCACAGCAGCTACATCTACAGCTGGTGTCCTATCTCCTCGATCCTGACTCAGATCCTGACTCAGACCTGCTGGCTGGGCTTCCTGGATTGCTCTTGGACCTTCCTCATCACTACAGACTTGCTGTGCAATCACTGGACTATGTCTTACTCTCATCACTGTCACTTCTCAAGACTTCTCAAGAACCAAACGTGCTTCTCCACACCCTGCTGCTTTTTGGTGAGGTCTTAGCTCCCACCTGCCTTGGCATCATGCTCCACCTGTGGCTCACCTTCCTCTGCTAAGCAAATGGCCCTCACACCCCCTGACATTGCCACACTAAAACCACTACCACTCTACCATGCATAAAATTTTGTCACATGGAACTTTTAATGTGCAGAACAACTCTGCTCACTGTCCACAATAAAAGAAGCATAAGCCACATGAGGTAGCAGAGATAGAGATTCATCTCTCAGAGCTCAGCTACCTATCACAGCCATACAGCTGCTCCACACACCTTTGTTTCACACTAAATTAATTTCTACTCTTCAAGGTTGTGTAAAGGTTTGTAAAGCCAGCACAGCCAGCCATCAGGGCAGCTCTGGCTTAGGGGAAGTCTTTGCAGAATGCAGAACCAGGATGGAATGTCTTCCTTTGTATAAGGCTCATTAGGACTGCTGTCGCACTTCAGCATTCTTGGCCGCTAGACTGGCTCTGCAGGTTGGAGAGAGAGAGCCAAGCATACAGATGGTCAGCATGCACATACTATGAATATTGCTAGTTTGCAAGGCCTATACATGAACTAGAATCCTGTTGAATTAGGTTCAATATATGCTGTGTATAAACAGAATACAGATGCACGAATATTTAAATATAAAACAGGAGATGACAGACACAACGATGGAGGAGAATGATTTTGAGGAGCATGATAGGCAGAAGTCTCGGTACATCAGGAAATTTGCCACTATCCAGTTTCATCACAACAAGAGATAACCATTAGGTAGGGTTTGAAGTAGAAAGATATAGATTAAAGTAGATAAACTTCTGTGGATACTTAGGAGACCAGGGGCAAAACTGAAGGAAACAAAGAAAGCAAATAAGAATCATAGAATCATCAAGATTGGAAGAGACCTTTAAGATCATCAAGTCCAACCACCAACACAGCATTGCCACTGTAACCCCTAAACCACTAAACCACATCACCAGGTTCAGATGCCTCTTAAACACCTCCAAGGGATAGTGACTCAACCACCTCCCTGGGCAAAGAGGACAATGAAAGAAAGTGAGATGCTTTTCTGAAAGTTCAACTAGTGGCTGTAAAAGCTTGTATTCAGCTGATGAGAGACAGGAGCCAACTACTTGGTACAAAAGATAGATGTGGGAAAGGGATAGGCTGTAGAAGCTACTTGCCAAGGCCAAAGATAACGACTTTCTGAGAATTAGGATGAAAGATGAAAACACGGAGAAGTGGTGTGAATGGATAGGGAGGACCATATAATAGAGATCTGATGCAGAGAGAATCCTAATGACTTAGAGCTGGACTTCAATAGCGATGAACCAGTGTCTGCTTTAAAAAAAGGGATCATCTTACCAGTTTTACACTAGCTATATGCCCAACAGAAAAACCTGTTCATAATTTTTCTTTCATTTCTGACTTTAAAAACTAAATACTCTTTGACTATTCCAAAATTACACAGTTTTGCAAGACTAAGCATCAAGCAAGTCATTAGCATCATCTGATGTGATTGAATTGCTCAGAATCCAGAGGTTATCTGTGAAAGAAGTTTTGCCTAATACAGGCATGTATTCACTGGCACAAGAAAACAGCACTGAGGAATGTAGGAAGGAGTGGATGTCAGAGGAATGTATGCATTAATAGAGTGGTTCTGTTTTCACCTTTTGCTGCTAATGCAAGTATTAAATTGCTTTTGTTGCATTCTTTGTCACTATGGTTATCTATTGCTTCTCCCTCTTCAGTTTACTCCTTTCTATCCTCAACCCTACCATTCACTCACCAAACTACCCAGACTGTACTTCCACACCTAACC